TATTGTAAAATAAAGCAAAGTGCAATACAATGACTTACTATCAAATCTCAGTTTTTAGTTCCATTATATGACTTTGAAAGTGAAAAATGAATACCGCAATTAGTTGTTTATGCTTTGCTTTGGAAGCTCCTCTGGAAGAGCCATTGTAGTAATGACTATGTTGTTTTGATAGTTTATTACCTTCCATTTCACATACACTGTATGAAAAAAAATATAAGTATCAAGTTCTGCTTTGCACAAGGGGCAAAATTGCATCCCAAGCTCCATGATATACTGAGAGAATGTATACTGCCGCAGGCTTCCCTCTGTGCTACCAGCTAGCTGCAGGTCAGCATGTTCCTGTCCCCTTCCCCTAAGGGTGAATTTTTTCCCCTGAGGGACACAGAGGAAGAAGCCCATGTGCTCCTTGAGTGCAGGGTTTGCAATTGTTCCCTAGTTCTTGCCTGAGCGGGATGAATGTGGAAGGTGGGGGGCAGGGGGCGGCAAGCATTCTCCTTATCCCCTTAGCTCCTGTTCTAGGGCCAAGGACAGTCTGGCCCAGAATGGATGGGAGAGCAGGACAGCTTTCTGTAATAACTGAAAACCAAGCAAGACAGAGGTAGCAAGGTCATTGAATGCAAAGGATGGGTCAGAAGGATGTAACTGGAAGAATGAAGGTAAATTAGAGGGAGTGGGGAAGGAGAATAAAACAGTGTGAGGGGATTTTTTGCAGAAAGTTGGGAAGAGCAACAAGATGGGCAGTACACAGGGCCAGATCCTGACTTGCTGTAAATTGATATAGCGAAGGACTGATGCTTAAAGAGCGTTCCACATTGTCCTACTCTTCAATCTTACATTTGTGCGCTACCTCAGAGCAGGTACTGCCTGGTGGACTCAATTAATCAAGTTATCATTTTCCTATTTGTCCTTTTGATAAATATTGAGAGAGAAAATGTTCAGAATGGGTGAAAAGGTTGGAATTATGTCCTTCTCGCATTCATATCCAATATTTTATTCTCCTGGGAGCTAACAGTTCTGAAGTTGTTCCCTCAGAAGAAAATAAAATTTGTTAGTCTCTAAGGTGCCACAAGTACTCCTTTTCTTTTTGCGAATACAGACTAACACGGCTGCTACTCTAAATCCCTCAAAAGAGACCTTCTTTTAGAAAGAATTAAAGATATTAAAGCCCACCCTGTTGGGAGATTGAGAGGTCTTTCTAATTCCACACAGAATTATTATTAAGATCTTAGGTTCACAGTCGACGCACTAATTATGGTCCCAGGGATGAAGCCCCTCGCCCTGCCTATGGCCCAGATCCCTGTGCAGACCCAGGAGGGGTGGGGCTGGCTGGTTGTTGGGGTTCTCCAGGATACCAGCTGCGAGACCCTGTTGTGGGGTGACTGTCTCTCTTTGGGACAGGATCCAGGCCCTGCTCCTGTAACTGCCGAGGGTTTGAATTTGAATCCAGGGAACCAATCGGTGGAGTGGGAAATGGTCAGTGAAAATGCAGATGACCTGGCTGGCAGCAGGGAGGAGCTGCTAGGCTCAGGATACCTGCCTGCCTGTAACCAGACCCCTGGGGCTGGGTGGGACAGAGATGCTCCCCGCCCCCTTGCGTACTGGAAAGGGTGCTCATGCTGGCTCTGGTGCAGTGAGGAAAAAAGCGAGCTCGCTGCCTACCCCCACTGGGACAGCAAGGGCAGCGCTGAGCACAGTGGGAGCTGAGACCCCAGCTGAGGGGGTGGGGAGACACAGGCAGGGCAGGTTATCTGTTGGGAGTGGCAAGGTGCTTGGTAAGGAAAGTCTGGATGAGCCTAGGCAGCCTTGTGAGCTTTGTCTAGTCAGCAGGGTGGAAGGCGAGGATAGTGGAAGATGAGTGTCCCTATACCTTACCTGTTACCTGGGTGGAGAATTGTGACAGTGAAGGAAATGTGCCTGTGTCTATCAGGGGTATTGACTTGCCCGTGGAGGGAGCTACCCCAGTCTCCAAGCAGTTGTCTGTGAACACCCCTGTGTGCTGGGACCAGGGGAATGAGATCCCAAGCTGTGTGTCTGGGAAAGGAGAATGTGTCTCCAGCTCTTTGTCTGGGGAGCGGACAGAAGGGGTCTTTCAGCCTGTGATAGTTGACGGTAGTGCAATTGTCTCAGAGTTGGTTCTGGATTCAGCTAAAGCCCAGGAAGGGAATGGTCCTAAGTTTGTGTTTGCTAGGGAGAATGGCACGGTAACTAGGTCGCATCCAGTTAGTGTCTATGTAAAATCCCAGAGACCAGACAATTCTGGTGCTTGTATTTTGCCTGTTGCTAGTGTGTTGTTGGGAAAGGGTGTAGCAACTCTGTCTAATCAGAGTGAGATCCTAGCCAGGGCACAAGGAGAGCATAAAAGTGATTTGATTGTGTTACCTACTGAGGGTGTGGAAACCTGTAGCAAGAAGGAAAAGATTCCTGAACTTGTGTGTGGCAAAGGGAAGGAGAATGCTTCTAACCTTTTATCTAGGAAGTCTGTCAGTTTGCCTGAAAGGGGATTGTGTAGGAATCTGCCTGATGGGCCAGAGGTAATTCTGGATGTAAGTGAGACCCAGAAAGAATCTGTTGTTGCTCAGGAAAGTGTTCCTATAGAGCAAGCCCTAGGTAAAGAGGGTCAGGGCAGAATTTCTGTGAAGGGTGAATTGTTGCATAGAAAATCCCCTAGGGAAAGGAATCCTCATGGTAGTCTTTGCAAGCAGTTTACTGCAACTGAAGGGTGTGAAAGTGATTTACTCAAGAAAGTTTCAGTTCCTAACAGCCAGAAATTTTCTGTTGTAAATGAAGCTACTGACTTTCCTGTTGAAAGATCCAGTGTGGATAGCTTTGAGAAGGTCTCAGATGAAGTGAAAGCTGTTAAGAAAGTTAAACAGTCCTATAACCAAGTGGCTGTGTTTGGCCAGCTTGTTGGGGAGACAAGGTTGTTGAGAAAAGGATGTCTCCATGCTAGTTCTGTAAGTGAACAGTATATGGCCCAGTTCAAGTTGGGGGCTCTTAACCAAGAGAGCCCGAATTGCAGGCCTCCAGACTGGAGCGCTGGGAGAAGACCTGATCTCAGTTTGACCCCCAGGGGTTTTGGGGTGGCAAAAGGGCACGGGCCGCATAAACCTTCCCACATGCGGCATGCGAGTGCTATTAACCACCCCTGACCTAAGGGAGGGCGTGAAATTGGAAGGGCCTGGTGTAACTCCCACCAAGGAATAGGAGAGATGCTGGGGAATCCATGGGAACGTTGGGGGCTTCAAAATTCCCCAGGTCACCGGCTAAAGTGACCCCACTCAGTTCGGTCTCGAAGGGGGGAGAGATGTGACGAAGCGGGACTGTTCTTAATGTTTCCTCTGAATATTGTGGGAGTGCCTCAGTTTCCCCTATGCCCTTCTTAAGTATCTAGGTGGTGGGAGAAGGGTGTGTGATCGTTGCAGAGCCCTAGAGGGCAGGTATGTGCAGGGGTCTGGACACAGAGAATGGCCAACACCCGGTTTCCTGGCAACTGATGGCCTGGGCCCTTCCCCCGTGCAAGGTGAGAGCTAAAGGGTTGGAGAACAAAGGAATCAGGTGACCTCTTGGCCCGGGAAAGGGACAAAGCCCAGAGGAGGAGGTGCTGGAGGGGGAGGCGTTTGGGGCTGGTTGTGGACATGGAGTGAAGTGTAGACGTGGTTGTCTGGCTCACTGCCCCCCAAAGTGGACCCAGCTGAGGGGTCCTGTTCTCTGCACCTACAAGTGTGGCATTGCTTATCACTCTTATTTATTAACACTTATTTTCACATTTCCAACCTCACATTTGTTACAGAGATTTCCTTCTGCAAATGTTTGTGGGTAAAGCGGGGGAGGATGTGAATGTTCTGTTACGATTGCAACTATATTACAAAATGTTTTTCAATAGACTTTTGTTTTACATATCCCATCTTTTAAAAAAATAAGAATGCCTATCATGATTTTTTCAGCCCCCTTTCACTGGTTGCAACTGTCTGAAAGCTGCTAAATTCACATTTGATGCTGAATGAATCTTCATGAGCAAGACCATCACTTAAAGATGTACAATAAGAAGCAATGGGCAGTGAGAGCCAGGAGAATCTAGGAAAAACAGGAACTTTGCACAGTTTAGCAACTCCACAAGGCACTGGGAGAGAGGGCTAGCCCTTGGCCCCACTACAACACTACCAATTGATGTTCATAGCAGCAAAGTCACAGTTCTTGTCCATAAACTTGTCAGGGCTTAAAGTTTATTGTGCTCTAAATTTTAAGTGCCAAGTCTTTCGAGTGGTGGAATGCTAAGGACCAGATTTGGATACCTTCACTCACAATGAGTCTGCAAGTAGTCCTGTTAAAATCAACAGGACCACTCATGAGACATGGTAATGCTCAACATGAGTAAAGATATCAGAATCTGGATATCAGCTGGTTAGTCTATGACCATAAAAGTTTACAGAGCTCCTAGAAAAAAGGCTCATTAGTTGTTAGAACGAGTTTTGATCCTGCCCTGAAGGTTTGGATTAGTACATATACTTCACTGGTGCTCATCATGGGAATAAGAAAAGCAGGATTTACCCCAACATTTGAACTAATTCTTCAGAATTTCACTAATTAAACTGGATCAATCTGCATTCCTTGTGATGTTCTGGGGACTACCCAGAGCAGTAAGAGGTCCTGTCATCACCTGCCCTGTTACCTTTGGGGTCTTTGTGCTGTGCAGCTATGTTTTGATTCCCTGCCACCAGTAGCCAGACCACTCTGAAAAAAATACAAATCAGTATTTCTGCTTGTATATGCAAAATTTCTTTTTCTGCTGCTGGGAAAATCATAAAGAAGCTTTTATTAATCCTTTGACATCAGTCCAGAGCTCTAAAACTTCTGACTCAGTTTGCTGGTAGTGAATTATTCAATGAGGGCCGTATTGTGGAATTTGTCATAATCTAATTAATGGGTGAAACCAATATTTATTTTCTATTCTCTCTTCACAGTTCCTGTTTTAACCTTACATTTTACTTTCCTCCAAACAGGTGTGATTATTGTCCCAAGTGCTGGTGTTGGCATTGTGCTTGGTGGCTACATTATTAAAAAGCTCAAACTTGGTGCAAGAGAGTCTGCGAAGCTGGCTATGATTTGCAGTGGCGTGTCTTTGCTGTGCTTTTCAACACTTTTCATTGTTGGATGTGACAGCATTAATCTAGGGGGCATAAATATCCCATACACAACGGGGTAAGTGTCTTTGAATTGGTGATTCTAATGCCAGCTATTTGCAAAAGCCTGCTAGAAATCTAGCTATTTTATTTTATTTAAAAACGAGCTATTTTTGAAGTCCATTAATCAAACAAGATCTTGGTGAATACAGTCAGATAAATACATAGTTTGACTGTATGGCCAGAATTCTTTTATTTTACAGCTGATTGACAATAAAAGCCTATCAAACACTCATTTGGGTGGCCTAGGTATTCTTGGTCCTGCCTGAGCCTAAAGGGGATAGATGGTTGAACTTATTTTGCCTGATATCAAACCCATTCAAGTATCTTGGTTTTGAAGTTCAGTTTTGAACTCTAACACTAGTGGATTTGTGTTGCACTCGGAGACACCGTGAAGAAAGCAGAGTGGGAGGAGAGAAAACTATCCAATAAAAAAATGGGGTCAAAGAGGGGACAGAGAATAGATCACATGTAAAACAGAAAGGAAGAATGTGAGAAAAGGACGAGAGAACAAAATAGAAAAAAATCAAATAAGAATATAAATACTGGGTCCCATCTTCTTGTGGTGTATATGTGTCTCCTTTGTACCTCTCTGCCAGCAGAATCTAGCCATAGAGCCGGGGAAACCAGCCCCTGAAGAATCATCCAAATGCCAGGGGGATCCTGCATTGTTGTAAAGCTGGCCTGGTGTCTCCTATGCCACGGACCTCCTTGATCCTGACTCAGATAGGTAGGGGCCAGTGCTGAGGGTCAGGCTGTAGCGTGAAATGATCTTGGGGAGGTGGCATCGTGTCATACTGCCTGGCTGAAGAAGCAGGAAATGGGGACAGAAACCATAGGTGCATTATTTAGCAAGGAAGGAGTGGCATAGGTTATCAGTCTGCAGCTGAAATGCTGTGACACCGTCTGGCAGTAAAATGAAGAAATACAAGTGAACAGAAATCTGCCTTTAATATGATTTGTTCTAAATCTTTCAGATGAAATGTAGCTAACCTGTTCTTTCTTCAGTGAAGTAAGTATTATGGCCCCACTGTCACAAACAAGAGAACTGAGGGCTTGTCCACATGAGTAAGTTGCTCTGGTTTAACTTAAATTGTTTTTTAATTGGTGTAGTTAAACCAGTGCAAACCCCTGTGTGGACACTCATATTTCAGTTTTAAGAGTAGCTTGTAGCAGTTTAGCCTAAACTAATTCCTAATTGACTTCAATTAAACTAAAATAAGCCTTCTTCGCTGGCTTTAACTAAAGAGGTTTAAAGTAACTCCTTTAGTTAAACCCACGCAACTTTCTCATTTAGACATGGTGGTAGACATGTTAAAAGCTGAATCCTTCTAAATATTGATTGCTGTCAACTCCTATTGAAATCAAAATGAAAACTGAAGTCACTGGGACTTCATCAGTGTCAATGGAAGTTGAAGGTGCTCAGCACATTGCAGGAGTGGGTCCTGTGTGAATTACTTAAAGCCACATAGTAAGTCAGTTGATCTACAGATTAATAAAACAAGCAGTACTGACCCCCACATTCATCTTTACAATCTGGTCATCAGCGTGATAAACTTCTAGATTCATTCAGTTGTTATCATTTGATCTAGCTGTAAACCATTTCATTAATAAGAAACTCTTTTACTCAGACATCAAAGAAGCCAGCATTTAAAAAAAACATATGCACATTTTCTAAAGGAAATTTTTCATTTTAAGGATACCAAAAATAGATAGATCCTTCTTGAAAGTTAAGCTTGTAATAGATCCCAGTTACTAACTCTGTGTCTCATTTTCGTAAGCAAATGCAGAATCTGTTTATAACTATTTCTTTTTGTGGTCAAAAGTCACATCAAAGTAATTTCCTTTTTTCTTGCTTGGACATAATCGACCCATCCAATAGAAAGGAGAGTGAATAGCTGTGTTCTAGTTAGCATAAAAAAACAAACACAAGTCTCAAAATTCAGGAAAACAGGTGATGATATTTCATAATGTAAATGTAGTCTACCTATATGAGGCATGTTCTAAATTGGGGACAGTAAATGGACTAGGAAGCTCAGGTGGATTAAAATATGTTTGGAAAGATTTTCTGCAATTTTACATTGGACACAGGTAGTTTTGAATTTGCTAATTTGTCATTGCCGACTTGTGTTATCAGCAAGGTTCAGGGCAATTCTGTATTTCACATTTCAGCATCTTAAACGATGCAGCTGAATGACTCTAGCCTTGCATCTAAGGACAACCTGACATACGTAACATTTAAATACAACATGAGTGCCCTTCCGCCAGCAGTATAAATTAGGCATGGTCTTATGCAACCCTAATTTGCACTGGGCTGGGCAGTTCAGTATTAGGGAGCTGGCTTCCTGAAGCTCCCACTCAGATGTAGAGGAGAATCAGGATCAATGTGTCACAAAGGGAGTAAAATTCTGCCTACCAGAAGAATTGAATATGAGGAGCATAAAATACTTTAAAGAAAAAGCTTAACTATCTATCTGATACGTCACCCTGAGATTTTTTTGATGGAAGCAAGATACACAACAATTTGAAATTGAGAAAGATGCAAAAGATGGCATGATGTCACTAATCGATTTCAGCCTGAGCCCCAATGTCTACAGTATACTTCTTGACCTATTGGAACAGTTTAAGAATTAATTGCTGAGAACGATAATTAATTCAGTCATATAAGCCAAACCAAATAAATAGTACCTGGAGACAAAGGGAATAAATGTCAGTGAAATGAACAGATCTGTTTTTTAACCACAGTGCGCAACTGTGAAATCGTTTGCCATTGCAAAGCATAATAGTGCTCAGCATTTTAGGGTTGAATCCTGCAAGGTTCTAAGTAGTTCTGCGAGGTGCTGAGCACCCTCAGCTCCAACTGACTGCAGTGGGGGTTAAGGAGCTCAGCCCCTTGCAGATGTGCACAGCACCTCACAGAATCAAACCAATAGTACCCTCCATAGGAAGATCTCAAAACCCTTTACAAATATTTATGAGTTAAGCTTTGCCATACCCCTGTGAGGAATGCAGAAGTAAGAGCATATGAACTGCAGTAGTCTCTGTTCTTAGATATCCGGAATATTTAGAAGATGTGTAATAAAGAGAAAAAAATTAGCGAGGGGCAGATTGTACTCCTCAAATCCATGTATAGAAGGGCCCTACTGCACATAGGCCTCACCCTTCCACTCAGAAAGGGGAGGTGCCCCATAGCGCAATCCCCGCACTATGGAACCTCATAGGGAGTCCGCTGTGGGATCAGGAATTGTGGAAGATGGGAAGAGGGCGAGCACTGGGCAGGTCTGTGTTGGCTAGTGGTGGTGGAGACCACCAAAATTATTTCCTTGTGATCCAGGCTCAACACAGGCCTCTTTCAGCCTGCTCTACAGAAAGCCATTTTTGCATTTCATGAACATTAAACTGTCTTACCTGAAAATAATCAAAATAGCTGCAAAGAGACTCTTCTTTATTTGTCAAATGAGAGAAAAGGATGATGCCTTTTCTTGTCCGTTCAGTGTATAGGGAGAGAGGCTAGCCAGGGTAGGTTTCCAGGGTGCTTATTAGCAACCAAAGTCCCAGTATTAGTTTAATTCCCTCCCGTCTTTTTATGATATGTAAAATGTACAACACTGGCTGGTTTGGGTTATATTCTTCTATTATTCTAGAGCAGTTAAAATTATTGTAGATAAATTGAAAGATATAATTGGTTTGTTGGATTTTTGGGACAAATAATACACAAAAAAATCTCAACTTCCCATCCCAAGCATCAGGTTTTGCTGTTATGTCTCTCTCAATCCAGTCAGCCAATCAAAACTAAGTGGCTCAGAACAACAAAAAATGAACGTAGGTAAAAACCACATCATTCCTAGCTTCAGTTTCCAACTCTAGCTGCACATATAATGCCACATGACACGGCTTCTGAACTCTGCACACACAATGTTCTACACCAGTGGTTCTCAACCTTTCCAGACTACTGTACCCCCTTTCAGGAGTCAGTTTGTCTTGTGTACCCCCAAGTTTCACCTCACTTAAAAACCACTTGCTTACAAAATCAGACATAAAAATACAAAAGTGTGACAGCACACTGTTATTGAAAACTTGCTTACTTTTTCATTTTGACCATATAATAAAATAAATTGATTGGAATATAAATGTTGTACTTACATTTCAGTGTATAGTACAGTATAAACACATCATTGTCTGTATGAAATTTTAGTTTGTACTGACTTTGCTAGTGCTTTTTATGTAGCCTGTTGTAAAACTAGGCCAATATCTAGATGACTTGATGTACCTCATCAAGACCTTTGTGAACCCCCAGGGGTACACGTACCCCTGTTGAGAACCACTGTTCTACACCTTAAAGGTTCAGTAACTAAACCCAGCCTTTCCCACGCTTTTCTGCTTGCTCTTTGCCATTTCAGAAGAACGCTTGGTAGTTTGTCTATGAGGGAATCATATTGTACAAGGAAGAAGCATTGAAGAAGCCAGTCATGTAACATCCTTCTGTGCAAATGGTTTACTCAGACACTTCTCAAAACCACAATTTTCCCAGCATGCTCTTGGCAGCCTTTTAAACAGTGGATCCAATTTATTGATTATTTTGGGATGATGGTTAGTTTAATCAAGACAGAAATATCTTTGCTATGTAGCCAAGGCTTCTCCTTTTCACTTTTTATCCCAGATTTCAGATTGAAGACTTTTTAGGCTGTAAGCTCATCGGGGCAGGAACTATGTTTTCTTTGTGTTTGGAACTGCCTTAGTACATTATATGTGCTACTGCAATCTCAGTAAATAAAAATGAAACCACATGCAAATCCATTTGCTGTTTATAACATTAATGCCTTCCTATATTTTGGATTTATCTGTGGATTCCTTCAATTCTAAGCTCTTTGGGCCATCCTGTGGGGGTTGGGGGTGTGTGTGTGTGCACATTGCCTAACGGAAAGGAGTTCCAGTCCCTGATTGTGTATCCCTCAGTATGAATAAATAATAAGAGGCCTCACAACTCTTAAAAGTCTAGACTCTGCATCTTCCTTCTCC